CAGCTGCCTAGGGAGATGGTGAGCTGCCCCTCGCTTGCTGTCTTTAAGCAGCGGCTGGACAAACACTTCTCAGGGATGCTCTTGGCTGACCCTGATTGAGCAGGGGGTTGGACCAGATGGCCTGTATAGCCCCTTCCAACTTTGTGATTCTATGATCCTATATAGATATATATGCCATCCTATGAAATTTGCTTGCAACACAACCAAGGACAACAAAAGGAAGTGCTTCTTTACACTACAGGCAGCAGTTTTGTGGAACTCACTTGCCTCAATATGTGGCAATAGCCAATGTTTTAGGTGGATCTAACAGCAGGCCAGGCAGATTTATGGAGGCTACTTCTCATTGGCCTTTCCCCATGATAGCCAAATGATACCACCAGGCTCAATGGCAGATTGACTAATTGTCAAATGGTGGGTAGCAGGTAAGGACTGTTGTCTGCAGGCCCCCAGCTTCCCTGTGGCATCTGACTGGCTCCTGTCAAGAATAGGATGCTAGATTCAGTGAAGTGATACAGTCTAGCTACCTCAGGTTATGGTCATTATTCCTCCTTTGGCATTATTTTTCAAGCAAATGCAAGTATGGGAAAGCCCACAGGAGGAACTTAGTTGCTTAGAAATAGGAGCTCAGGTGAGTGGATGAGAATTGCATTTTCAGACTGCTGCCACTGCGTGGCAGCCAAGGAAAGGATCTGCACATTTGTCCAACTGGTTACCATGAAGGGGTCCAGACTGCACAGTGTAAACACTGCCGTGCTGCATCTGAATTCTGCAGAGAAAGATTGTATTTTATTTTTCATATCCTGGAAGACCTGGGACTGAAATCTTCAAAAATGGTTTTCTAAAATTCAAACCAGCTCCTTGCAACGATATCCTGGGCAGCACCCAAGAGATGAGTGAAACATCAGGGCAAGTATTGGCTGCAAAACAACTCATAATTTGAGGTCTGGGGGACTGTGTTTCCCCCATGCTGCAATGGAAACACTTGCTGGGGCAAAGCTGCCTTGGATCATGTGCAATTCCCATTCAGAAAGCATCTGACAGGCCCGTGTTTCTCTTCCAGTGCAGCTAATATTCCAAGATCACAAATACCCTGACCTTCTATTCATCTTCAGCTCCAATGCGAGCAAAGCCACCTGGGACAAACCATTACCTAAATAAACTTCAGCCTGTTAGTGAGTGGTGGGCATGTTTGCGAGCCTGGTATTAAAATCTTTGCTACTGTTCTCCAGCCATATGTGTGGAATGATGGCTTTTGCATTTGGTTTCTGCAGAAACCTCTCCTAAAGAGGTGGGCCAACTGGCAGTGGAAGGCTTTGTAGGCACACTGCAGAGACTAAAGTGCCTTGTCCCTATTGACTTTCAGGAAGAACCCCAAAGGCTGCTCCTTTGTGTGGTAGTGTGAACAACGCCAGCAAGCCAGGTTTTCTTTTTAAAGAAAATAAAACCAAATGCTAAATTCCTCCTATCCATTCAACCTTCCTATATCCACATTCTGGCATGGAAAAGACACTTGTGCTAAACTAGTTTGTCTAAAATTCCTGAGGACTTTTTGCTTCATCTTCTGGTCCGTGCATAAGATGCACAAATCAACATGTATTACAAACATGGATGTATAGCATTTAGAGGCTATGAGCACACACACTTAGCCTCTGCAACACAAACCTCTACTATACTCATGCACACAATCAGCTATACTGCGTAATGGCTATACTCCTTTTTAACATACCATGGACACAGCCACACTTTGTATCTCTGTCACACACCCACATATATTAGCTTTCCCTCTTTCCCATCCTCTACCCTTCTGTAACACTCAAGTTTAGTATGGAAGCCTGCCCCCACCCACTCACATACATCGCTCCACTGCTCTTACAAAACTCCTGAGCTTAGAAAATAAAACATCTATGCATTTAAACTGATGTTAGAAGCAGTATTAGAAGATGTTTGGCCAGCATCATATTTTGTGTTTTGTTTCATGCCAAACTTGAGCTATGCACAAAAATACCAAAAGCTTAAAGTGCTAAAAAAGCTTTCTTTAAAAGGGACGGTTTCCTGAAAACAGCAGTCTGCTGCACAACTTCACGCTAATGCGATTATGTAGTTAATTTCCTAAGTTAGTTTCCCCACCATTTCACCCATCACAGCCACTACAATGCCCTAAAGGAGAGCTCTGCAAAGAACCAAAAGAGTTTGCAAGAGAGAGAAGAAACTGTACATGGCACTGACACAGGTCAAGGAAAATTTTTAATCACATACAGGACCAATGCTCCCTCTAAGCTTTGCAGATTCGTGAGCAGAAATTCTACTTTGTGAGCTACTGGCATTGTGAGCAAGCGATTTGGCTCTTGGTCCTCGGTGGGAAGCCGTTGGTGCCAGCGCCGGAGGTAAGGAGTCTAGGGGTGATGCTGGATTCCTCACTTTCTATGGGGGTCCATGTCACTTCAGTTGCCAGATCGGCCTTTTATCACCTTCGGCTGGTCAGGCAACGAGTTCCCTACCTTGCCCCCCCCCGGTACTTAGCTACAGTGCAATGGTCACTTCCAAGCTAGACTACTGTAACTAACTGTACGCAGGGCTACCCTTGAGCCTGATCCAGAAATTGCAGCTAGTGCAGAATGCGGCAGCATGCCTGTTGATGGTGATGCCCTTGTGGGCACACATTCAACTGGTGTTGCACCAACTGCACTGGCTGCTGATAGAATACCATATCCGGTTCAAGGTTATGGTTCCAGCCTTCAAAGCCCTATGCAGCCGGGGACCATCATACCTGCGGGACCGCCTCTCTCGCTATGAGCCCAGGAGAGCTTTGCACACTTCTGATCAACATCTCCTGGTGGTCTCTGGCCCAAGGGATATTTGCTTAGCCTCAACCAGAGTGAAGGCTTTTTCGGCCCTTGCCCCAGCCGGGTGGAACGTGCTCCCACTTGAGATCAGGCCCCTGCGGGACCTAGCACAGTTCTGCAGGGCCTGTAAAATGGAGCTGTTCTGCCAGGCCTTCAGTCGAGGTGGAGGGTGTTCAATCTATTCTGGGGCCCCTGTCCTGTCCACAGCACTGTTTTTGACTTTCCCCACAATGCCCTACTGTTTTTGGACACCATCTGGACACTGGAGTTCTGCTGCTGCTAATTACTGCTTTCTTGTTTTTATTGTCTGCTGGTTTTATGTTGTGAGCTGCCCTGAGCCCATTTTTTTGGGGTAGGGCAGAGTATAACTTTAATAAATAAAATAAATAGATAAAGTTTGCTCTGGAGCCATCCTTTCTGAGCTAAGACAAAAATGTGTGAGGCAGAGCCTAAAAAACTGTGAGCTGGCTCACACTAACCCAGCTTAGAGGGAACACTGCACAGGACACATTGTTTGTACATTCTGTGGTCATACAGAACATTTCACTGCGATCCTAAACAGATTTATACCATTCTATGCCCACTGAGTTCAATGGACTTTGAAGTGTGTAACTCAGTTTAGGACTGCACTAAAGTCCTTTCCCATTAGGATGAGTTCGTGAAAGACAATAGTGACACATTCTAAACCTTCAGGTGTGATCAAATTCTTCATATAGTATGGTCAAAAATAATACACAAGAGTAGAAAATACTGCAGATACTCTGGCCAGCCCCAGACAGGATGCAACAGATGGAGACCATTCTCTCATCTGGATAAGCAGTACTGAGTGCATCTTCTTGGAAAGGGCCTTCCAAGTCATCTGGTACAACTTTCTTCTCAAACACTTCTGTAGGCGTCTTTACTGCAGTGTATCTTGCTCCTTCCTCTGCTCTGGGTTGCCAGCAGGTCTGGAGGGAAAAATGTCCTGCCCCTTTAACAATCTGTGGCCAAGGGCCAGTGAAGCTTTTCACAATATTGAGGCAAAGAGCATCGAAATAAGGTTCTGTCCTCTTTGACAGGACATTTTTCCTACAGGCTTTTACTCTATACTAGGTTTGGACTCGCATGTTAAGAGTGACTCTCACTTTGTTACCCTTATTGTGAGGGTCCCAAGTGACCCACACTGAGCCTCCTTCCTTTTTATGTGTGTGTGCTTTACATAAGAACATAAGAGACGCCAATGTTGGATCAGGCCAAAGGCCCATCCAGCCCTACACTCTGTGTCACACAGTGGCCAGAAATACCAGTGCCATCAGGAGGTCCAGCAGTGGGGCCAGGACATTAGAAGCCCTCCCACTGTTGACCCCCCCCCAAGCACCAAGAAGACAGAGCATCACTTGCCCCAGAGCCCCTATCTATAAAAAGGTAAAGGTTCCCTTGCTCGAAAGCCAGTCGAATCTGACTCTAGGGTTGCGGTGCTCATCTCCGTTTCAAAGCCGAAGAGCCAGCGCTGTCCAAAGACGTTTCCATGGTCATGTGGCCGGCATGACTAAACACCGAGGCGCACGGAACGCTGTTACCTTCCCACTGAAGTGGTACCTATTTATCTACTTGCAATTTCTTGCTTTCCAACTGCTAGGTTGGCAGGAGCTGGAACTAGAGACAGGAGCTCACCCTGTCTTGCGGCACCCGGGTCTTGAACCGCTGAACTACTGACCTTCCACAGCCTGCAGTTCAGCGTCTTAACCACTTGAGCCACCGCAGCTCTAGCCCCTATCTATACCTTGTGGCTAATAGCCACTTTGTTGACTAGTTTTTATACTCATTCTACACATACACACATGTACATACACACAGTCGCATTTTAAAATGTATTTTAATGTTTTGGCTGTTTGCTGCCTTGAGGACCCTGAACTGGGTGGAAAGGCAGGATAAAATTATTATTATTATTAATAATAATAATAACTGAAATAACCATAATAACAATAACAATAACTATTGCTTTTCATATGGGAGTTTCCTGCCTTGGTGCAATGGGAGAGGGTTACTGGGGGTGGGGAGGTCTGAACCCTCAGGTCCTTTCGAAACTGCACTTTTATGATAGTATACAGGAAATCAATTCTTGTACATTGAGAACATAACACAAGTTTGTGTCTCCTGAGTACTGTCACAACTTACCAAGGTAGTTATCATCTTCCGGTTTCCCTGAGTAACTATGCTGCCGTACATCAATATTTGTAGCACCAGCTGGTATGCGTACCACAGTGTTATAACCTGGAAAGAGAAACTCAGAAGTCAAGCTATATTGTTTGTTGTTGTTTTTCCTCATGGGTGAAGCAGAGAAAAATGAAGTACCATCATTCAGTTTTACTATGGAGGGACCATGGCTCGGAGGTAGTAAACATGCTTTGCATGCGGAAAATCCCAGATTAACAGTGCAGTCCTAAACAGAATTATACCCTTCTTCAGCTAATTAATGTCTAGAAGGGTGTAACTCTGTTTAGGACTACGCTGTTAATCATGAGTTATTGCCAGTGATAGGATCTTCAGCAGCAGGTCCTGAGAAAGGCCTTGCTCTGCCTGAGAAGGTGGAAAATTACTACCAGCTATTTATTTATTTAGGTATTAGATCTGTTAATCACACAATCCCTGCAATGCAGGGCTCTGGGTGATGTACATCATTCATAAAAACATCAAGATAAAACAATTAAAACATTAATAACATATTTCAAACAAAAAGATGGTGTATATTTGGTGTAGTGGTTTGGTGTAGTGGTTAAGTGCACGGACTCTAATCTGGGAGAACCGGGTTTGATTCCCCACTCCTCCACTTGTACCTGGCTGGATGACCTTGGACAAGCCGTAGTTCTGATAAGAGCTGTTCTTGAAAA